AGCGCCCACAGGATGCCGCAGCTTGCAGGGCGAAGCTGGGAGGGTTCGATGGTAACCCGGGATTTCCCTCTGCTGCTCCCTCCCGCTCCTCTCGCATAAAGGTCCACGTGCCTCGTGTTCCCGCCGCTACATGCGCAGCACGCTAGCTTGCTGGCAACGTTAGATGATCTCAGTGCATAGACTATCTTGTTTGGCCCATCGCACCACCGGTGATGAGGAGCTGCCTTTCCCGGGCTGGAATATGTGCTGCACGCTAGGATGCTCAGCAATGCATAGGTGAATTAAGGTTTCTCTCTCAGTTTCTTGGCTTTGTTCTTGAGGCCAAGATCATATTTCTTAGAGTGTTTTCCTATCCAGGGGCCCCACCCTTGAGTTTTTTCGTTTTTCCTAATGGTATAGACATAGTGTTTCCAGATAAGCGTTGGCAGCAAAGCTTTAGCAGCCATAATTAGGGGTGAATTGTGTCAACTCTGTTTTGAAACACCTTTCCCCTTGGCTTGCTGTTGCAAAGCAGGCTCCGCTCCTAAACGTCATGGAAAACACGGTGGGAGCCGGGGAGTCAAAAGGCTAGGCAATTAATCATTAAAATAAAGAGATTGCACGGGGTTTGTTGGCTGTGTGAAGCTAGGAATCAACTTACAGAGTCAACTTTTGAGTTTAAACATATTGCACTATGACCAGCAAGTCTCCACAATACAGTAGGATTTATTAATAGAAAATATGTCAATATGAGTTTGTCTTTGTACATGTTAGCAACATGTACAGTGAAACACATTTTTTTTCTCAGTCTATTTTGTTATAGTTCTTTTGTGTTATCTGACATAACCATTTATATTTTGGGCTTAAATATGTTATTTGCCAAAATGTACTTCCAGTGTTAATATACCTTTAAAATCATAGTCTATCTTTTAAATATTGAATTCATATTATTTTTTTTTCAAATCAATATTGCTCATGTTAGTGCAAATTTGTTATCTTGAGATAGGTTAACCATTCCTTCCAGACCATAAACAGCATTTAATAAACCAGTGAGATTTATATAGCTCTACACAGCTGATTCAAGATTCTAATACGAAGCTTGTTAAAAAAAAAATTCAACATTTTACAGTACATCAATTGCATTTTATACATTTTTTGGAACATTTTTTTTTTCTTCTCTATTTCTGTGTGTGATCTAGTACAAGAATGAAGGGAACAGCAACAGGTAATGATACTTTCCTCAATATTAAAAAGAATGCATCATATATATCTTGCTCGGAATGGCAGCAGTGTTGGATTTCCAAGCCTGGAAAAAAAGCCAGGTAATTCAACACCTTTTCAAAACTCAGTACAGCAAGAGTGAACATTATTAGTTGGAGCACTTGCTACTACAGAGGAATGGAAACAAAACAACATAAACCATAGACAAAAGGGATTTTGTGCCACTTATCAATCCAGAATCTCTCACTTAAGCAATGGTCAACATTTGACTTGAACTAATTTCTAAGAGGAGCGGAAAGGGGTCAACACGGGCATTTTAATATTTTAAAGAATTCAAATAAATCCAACTTACAAGAACCGTCTGTCTTAAGAACTCCAAGTAGAGTCAAAGATCCCTTAGGCCTGTTTGCAATCCTGCTCTTGGAGAACTGCACTGATCTGATGGTTACCAGGCAGTCAAGAAGAACTTCAAGTTACTAGTGACATTCTTTAGTAAAAAAAAGCTTTTATACTGAAAATGTGCTTTGTTCAAAAGAGCACTGCAAATGTCACTCGTCTTATTAAAATCAATGTAATAAATAAAATATAAACAACCTGTGTCCAAAACTAAAAATAATATTTTTATCTACCTCACTATACATCTGGCCCACTGTGCCCCTCCCACCCACCCTTTTTTAAATTTTTTTTTGCATGCGATTTTTTCCCCCTGTTTACTACAAAGAGCAGAGAAGGTTACATATCGTACACTGGGAAAAGCTGCCAAAAAGATTAAACTATAGTCCTAGATTACCGATAAACCAATTCTACCTCACCGTGCCTGCCTGCCTGCCTGAACTACTTGGCTTGCTGTCTCTAGAGCAGGCAATGACTTGTGAGCAAATCCTCCCCGTGTGTGCACCCCAAAGTGTGCCAGGGGACGTTAAGACTATTACAATGACTAACCACAAAAATGTTTGTAACCTAAAATAATTCATTTAATTGGAATTTAAACAGTTTACAACTAGTCCATTTGTGATGGGTCTTATTCTGCGACAGCAGTACACTGAACTGTTGGCTGGATCAAAGAAGTGTTAGGTACTGGTTTTTTTACTTCTAGAGTCCCAAAAGCCAAGATAAATATCCCGGCTCTTCTGGCCTTCTAGCCTAGGTGTTTCTTTATTTTTATTTTTGAAAGAAAAAAAAATTCTCTGTCCCTTACAATTTTAATTTTTTGGGGTTTTATTTTAAATGCACGGAAATGGTCAGTGTTTTTATATTTGAGGAATGTGTTTTGGGTGGGGGTTTTTTGGTATGGTTTAAAATAACCGATTGTCCTAATAGTTCAGGAGCGGGACCCTTCTGTAGCCTGAAGAGTTTGGGGACTCCAGACTTAAGTCTGTTGGGTCTTTGCTTTCCGTTCCCTCAGGGAGATGGCAAGATCAAACTCTGTCTTCCTTGAGCACTTGCTGGTTGGTGGCTGGCGAGTATCAGGATCGACTTCTTTCCTCAAGAGAAGATCAAGAAAATGGCACCCAAGGGTGAAGGAATCGGCAAAAAATCCTATACCCCCCCCTTAATTTTTAAGTGGTCTAACAATTTTGAATTGTTATTGATGGTTATTAAAGTGAGTAAGAGAAAGCACATACTGGAGTTTCCACTGTTAAAAAAACCCAGAAAGATCAAACAAAAATTAAAGCTTGAACAAGGAAAACACTGGATGAAAGTAATTCTTGTACCACACAAACGCACACACTCAAACACATACATACATACAAAGAGGATACTATGCATACGTGGACACACACAAGTAAGAATGTGTATTTGTATGGTAGATTCTTGGAAATAGACATTCTTAGCAAATATGGATGACAGATCAATTGTAATTTATTTTCCTTTAACACTGTATCATCATAAAGAAAACTGGTATAAATGAAAAAAATCTATTTCAAATATCTACATCTAAAATTTTAGGCAGTGAAAAAGCACTTTGTTGACAAGGAGTGTGGAATGATGAATGTTAATTGTCAGAAACTGCTGAATGCCTTTTTTTTAGTTGCCACGAACAAATTCACATATCAGAACGAACAATACTGCTAAATATTCCTTTTTGTTTTTTGTTTTTTGTTTTTTTTTTTGTTAAAACGCACCGGGGAAAAGAAAACAAAAAAACTGGAAATTCATACATCTTTCAAAATTTGAAATTGAAGCAATATTTAGAACCATAGATGAAGAACACTGTGGCATTGGTGTAATATACACAATGCACTTTGTTTTTTTATCTGTAATGTACATCAAATACTTTACAACAATGCATTAACAAAAGGCAAGAAACATCTTGCTGTACAGAGGAAACCCCAAATGCAACTTGAAGCCTAGATTCACAATGAATGAGGATATTAAACAAAGTGTGAGAAGCTGTTCCCCATAAAGTATGTACGCTGCTCAGTTACTTGTGCTTAACTCTTGACCCACATCCACTGTCATGTTCTCCCTCCTTCCTTCAGCCACATTCAATATACGGCACCGAACTTTAGACTCTACAGGCCAACAGTAAAGTTGTCCCACACTGTAATATATATATATAATATATATATATCTTTCTAATTACTCCCTTGTTTAGCTTTCATTTCTTTTAGCCTTCTAAAAAAATCTTTATTTTTCCATACTGGTTATCTGGGCCTTCCTATGGAACAGGCTTTAACAAACTAAATTTGCAGGAAAAAGAATGTCTTGTGGTATGCATGCACATGCACAGTTCCTGGAGCTTTTGTATCTGCCCAAGTCTCACACCCAGGAGTCGGGAGAGGCTGGGGGGGGGCTTTTTTTTTTTTTAAGTTCACTATAGGGACGAGCAGCTGAATAGAAGTCGACGTAGTTGCCAGTTGACTTTAGTCCCAGGTGCATGTTGTATTCGCTTGCAGGTGGACGGTGATGCACTTGGTCCTCAAAGAAGGACTCGTCATAGCTTCTGGTTGAATTCTGAAACGGCTGATACGGTTCATAATCTTTTCTGCTGGGCTCCTGTGGAACTGGCTGTGTTGAAACCTGAAATACCCACAACTTGTTAGATATAGCGCGCAGTGGGCAACAACACGGAAGAAGGAATGATTCTCATGCCTCTCTGTTTAGCCTGCTGGGAATACAAAGGCATGCATCATCCTAACATCTGCCCAAAGTATTGCTTGGTAGTGAATTAACTGCACAACTTTGCTTTGTCATTCCAAATGACTTCATTACATTTTCAATTATTATTTAATATTATTGCTGCTAGTAGGTGCCAGCTTGCTTCAGAAGTAGTTAAAAATTTGGATCTGAACACTGTGGCTTACAATTACTTTTGTAAATATCATCTGTACCTAACTTTCTGACTATTTTGCAGATGTGTTATTCCCAACATTGCTGCCCAAAACTCAGCCTTGAAGAATCTGAATGGAAGTGATACACACTCCAAAGATGCTAAACATCTTGACACAAGTGAGATTTAGAGTGAGACTGTATTCCTAAGAACCAAGCATAGTCTTCAGGCACCAACATGAGAAAATTTCAAAGTGCCCTGCAATGTGCCCTTCTGCTACTGTTAAACCGAACCATCTTCTTACGAATCTCTTTGACACCTCCTGTTAGCAATCCTGTGGTGTTGCTACATTCCAACAAGTTGCCTTGAAGCTGGAATAGCTACGACGTGCAGAGGAAAATCTCAGGCAGTCCTCTAACCTAAGCTTCCTGTAAAGTTGTTTTCACACAGCCCAAGTGAGTATCCATTCTCACTATGCGGATTTTAAAATAAGAGATGAAATGTATAAACACTTGCTAAGTGTCTCAGTAGAATACTACTTTTTACTCTATGCTTTCTCCATTGAAACTGGACAGGTGTTTTGACCGTAAAAGCATATAGCCTTTCTGCCCTCAAACGAGGCTTTTCCCAGTGAGTCATCTCTGGGAATATTTATGCTCAAGCATCAGTACCAGAAGACTACTTGCAGATCCTGTCAACCAGGCAACAGTTAGTAATGCCCCTTAAAGAAGAAATGAGCAGTCCCACTGCTGTGTCCTAAACCATTTGATAGTCTTTCAAAGCATGGCTGTACTGGACTCCATGTGCAGACTGCGCAAGGCTGTCTATCTGCGTCCATCACCTTTCACAATCCACCAAGTGATGCTGCAACGTTGGGTCCAACATTAGAAAAGCAATAGGGAGTGTAACTACACTAGGTTCTATTTCTAGTACTGCTAGTAATGTCTATAGGACCTTGAGCAGCTCATTTCACTCCTCATATTTACATACAGTTGTTTAATTTTGGACACCTGATAAAAATGCTATACTAAGCAATCTATTTAGAAGTCAAAAAGTTAGGGCTGGTCAACATTTTTTGGCAAAAATTAGGGGACTGAATTAATATTTTGAAGTTCGTTTTAGTTAAAAAACATTATTTCTGACATGTGAATCATAAATCTGACATTTCATTGAGAAAGTAAGTAGGCAGAAATGGAAAAAGGCTTTTGGTTTTTGAGTTTCTGCTTCAGCTTTTCACCCCAAAAATCAAATTAGTTGACTCATGAATGCAGTTATAGTGTACCAGCTGTTAAGAGTACTTCAGTAGAGTACTTGTTTTCTCTAAGTACTGTATTAATTAAAAGGACTTTATCTCTTTCAGTGCAGCAAAAGCAGAAACACTGTCATGCGCTGAAGTGGCTCACACAAAGAAAGCATATGGTGCACCACAGGAAACGCTGGCTAACTAAAGAGCATAACCAATAATGGAAAATGGAGGCACAGGACATAGGAAACTGTTCACCTGCGGTTGGTGGATTGAAATTATTCAGAGAAAAAACATTCAGAGAAAAATGTTTTCCTTAAACATTTTTTGGCTTCATTTCTCTATTTTAAAAAACGCTATAAATTTTGTACAACTTATAGGGAGGTTGTGAAAATATTAATGAGTTGTGATAATTAAGTGTACAGTACCACTATACATAATGGCGAAACAAAAGCCCATGACCACAGAGAAATGTCCATTTCCTAAGGGGCTGAGGAAACACCATTTTGTAGTCTCCTGAATGCCATACGTGTCAATATTACAATAGCCAGTTTTTTTCTCATTCTGTGAGGGTACGTTCATTCACCATCCATGCTACCAATTACACTTTTTGGAATGTCCACCCTATTCCTAACTACTTATTGCTTACTGGTTTTCACCGACAGGATATTTTAAAAGATTCCCAAGCTTCTGGACAGAATGCCTTGCACATATATACATGTGAAAAGGTCCTTACTGTTGAAATGCTAGATTTTCTCTTACCCATGCTCTGATAAATACACAAAAAACAAACAAACAAAAAACACCTTACTGCAAATCATGCTTGAAAAGTGACCAGATGACAAATACGAGGGCTTTAACTACACGTAAGTACAGCATACACATCCCTGCAACAGATAGAAGGAGGTTCTCTCTCCAGGCCTATTCAGTACTTGAGTTTTGGCTGAAACGCCTTAGCATGCGAGCCATGTGGTATCAGCACTAGTGTTGAACTTTATGGTGGATATACCCACTTAATGAGATGTGAATGGATTTCACCAAATTCACTGGCATGAGACATCGTGAAATAGGTTCTTTTTACTAGCAGACCTAGCGGAAGTGGCCATTCTGTTAGCTAGGAGTTTGTAGTCTCAGTAACACCCATTTAAACCTTTAAAGACATTTGGGTCCCGAGCCCCTCTTTATTTCAGTAAGAGTTACTGGCCTAAATACCCTAGATTATGTTTGTAGGTATATCGTTCAATGTAATAACCTGTTGCACAGTTTTGAAACTTGGACTGAAATTAGCTGATAGCATAAAAGACTACATGTAACTCGGCTGAAGCCAGTGGAAGTGCTAGCATTTGCACAAACAGATGACTCAGTTCCTGTTACCTAGATTTGTTAGTCTTTGTGATATTTTTCTTAGTTTCCATACAAAACGTTAAATTAGTCTTTTGCCTTTTGGAACAATAACATTTTAGTCTCCTTCCTTACCTGGTTATGTTTGATGTCTTCAGCAGGCGCACCATACGAATTCCTGTACAAAGTTGAGATTCCAGTGTTTTGAGCTGGAGAGACAAAAAAGGAAGGTAAAAACAGTTTTACCAAACCTATTTCGTTGGCTTAAAAAGTGATTCTTAAGGCTTCTTTAAATACAGTGTTTGTCTCCCACACAAAGACACCTTTAAAAGTGCCTGCAGACTTCTCTTTTCTCCCCCTCCCACCCAACAGTCTTAATCTCCTCTTTGGTCTACACGTATGTAACACTTACTAATGGTAACAGATGCTATGTCTTGTTTATACCAATCATCTTGAGCACTCTTCATACAAATCAACAAAATAATTTCACATACAGCTTGCACTCAGTAATACACTTCAGGCTATATATGAGGTCTTACGATATCACACATACACGAAACAGACAACAGTTGTAAATACTGAGTTTAAGAAACAACAACAACTTGGCATTTTATTCCTTTCACTTCAGCTGGACACAAAATTCTGGATTATTTCTCATAGATGCTTTTCCTATATGGTGAAATATTGATGTGACAAGTGATTAAATATAATTGAGAAATGAGTTATGCAAAAAAGTAGTATGTCGTTATACTGAAGAGATCTGGCCAAGATAGTTTCAAATCTGCAAACAGCTGTCACGTTCTTCTCAGATGGCCTACTAATAAAATGCAGTAATAAAACTGAGTTATGAGTCTGAAAAACAAGTGCTTCTAGAGACAAGGAAAACATCATGGTGTTATGCAAAAAAATTATTTTTTCCCCATGAGAACACATACAAAAACGAAGACTTCTCCTGCAAGGTTCATTTCACTGATTACTTGGACATGGCTATCTAGCTGAAGTGTAGTTTGCCTGTAAAATTAGAAACACTGTACGTATTTCTCATTTTTGCAAGAATATGAGGGATGTATTTTGTGGAGCTGCTGCAGATTGTTCTTACTGGGCATGAGTTATTAACTCTCCAGATATCAGAGCCAATGATTTTATGCTGCCGTTATCGCTCCCATTATAAAAGCATGTGCCTGCAAGTGAATTTTTAAACTTTTGAGTAGCTGTGACCACTAATAAAATCAGAGTCATCGCTGGAATTGAAACACGTCACTCGTGCAACTTCTCTCCAGTTTCTGTGCAACGGCATAAGAACTGGATGGACCAAGAGGTGCTTTTAGTACCCTTACAGCTGATCGCCTTTGAGGGTGACTCTGAGCAACAGATGGAAGCTGGGTATGGGATCCATTTTACAGCTGATCACCTTTGAGGGTGACTCTGAGCAACACAGATGGAAGCTGGGTATGGGATCCATGCGAGTCACATCATCAAGAACCACAGTTACTGAAGGAGAAGTAAGTATTCTTTCTTCCTTTGAGTACCTGCTAGCATTGATCCCAGCAAGTACAACTTGCCTTTATCTGTCTTTCTTCAGCCATCACATCTTCTACTGCCAAGCAACGGTAAGGCTTTTAGTCATAGTTGACTGGAATATTCCAATTTTGATCTTTGCATCTGCCACAGGTACCATCCTGCGGGCGTGATTTTTGACAAAGTTTGGTGCAGTGTTCCACGTTGGTGCTTCAGAGATCTCAGACTATTCTTAAAGATCTCCAATATGTCCTTGAAACAGGATAAAGACCAGGCTTATATGGTGGGGTGATGAGGTCTAACAGCTGGAAGAGGCTTTTCTTCTGATAACCATTAGCTAAGGGGGATGAGGAAACTGGTTTCTCGATGAGCTGGATACAAGCACTAAGGCAGTGCATAGTCCTGAGTATGAAATAGAGCAGAGCTCTAGAGGTCTCCAAAAAGTGTGGTGGGATTCTTCCTTTGCATACGGGAGGACCTTGAGCTCTGATGACAGCTGACGGTCGGTCCTTTTCAACAGGAGATACTCTCAGTTCTGCCTGGGCACCAGTAGCTGGTAGTGATGGAAGTCACGAGTGCCTGAGCAGGTTGCCTTTGGACACAGATACGAGTGCACAAGAGTGACTCTACAGAGGGTCTCTTGGCTCAGGCTACGTTTTATTGTCAAACTTCAGTGATGTGCAAGGCTTGATTTTTTTTTTTTATTTCAGTATTTTTTATGGGTTCCACCTGGACCCTCTCCTTTAGTGTTTGAATCTCTCCTTCTGGATGCCAGTCTTTGATATTAGATGAGCCCACATCAGCACTGCCATTCATGGTGCTTCTCTTGCTGGTGTGGCTCTCACTGGTGTCAATGCCAGATCTTTCCTTGGTACCATCTTTTCAATGCTGGTTTCCGAGGTTTTTTACTAGCCACACAAAGCACTAGAAGAAGCTAGCTTATACATATCCCTTTTCTCAAGATTTAAAGATTCAGAGACAGTGTTTCAACTCCCCATTTTGTGAAGTGCTACTTCTTGAAGAAAATCAAAGTGATAGTCAATGGTTTCAATGAGCTGGCCTCTCATAAACAGGGGAAGAACTTCCTGTAACCATTTTTTTGGATGTATATAAATCTCAAGATAAGCAGGGCCTGAAATTTCATGCATGCAAGTTTTCAGTCAGGCATGACTGAAAGTACTCAGACCAGACCAGACAATACTGTTTATGGCTATTTAATGTCAAGAATAAGAAGATGAATATAAGGGGCAACATCTGAGGCTTTTACAAAGAATCTGATGAAAAACAGCAGACTGGACGCACGCTAATTCATATATTGCTCCTAGAGACAATTAGAGAGAAGAAAGCAAGGCTCATGGCCTTTCCACCTTTTTATAGGCAGATAAAAAGGCACATGGAACACGTGTGCCACAAGTAACCATGGCTATTAAAACGCAGAAAGAGTCTAGACTTGGTGCATACCTGTTCAACACACTACTACGAAATTTGCACTGATGCGTTCATAAATTTACACATGCCAGATGTAAGACTTGCAGTTTCCCGGACTGTAGCTCTGCAGCAGAAAGAGGGACACAGCATCTGCATATGAGAACAGCCGCAAAGTCTACGTTGCCGATTCCACTGCAGTTATGTGAATGCAAACTCACCAGTTAAAAATGCAAACAATCCATAATATCCTTTCTTAATAAAAAGAAATAAAGTGACATATGAAATGCTCAGAAATGCACGCCAAGAGTTCACAAACAAGACATCTTGGCTTAGTCAAGCTGAGAGGCTGAGCTAATTCCCTCTCTTGAGTAAATGTAAGTCAAGCAATGCAGCTGCTAGCAATGCATGCAGCCCTGCTCCAGTACCTGCTTCTGGCACGTAGGCATACTTGGGAACTGCTGAACTCTGCTATGCTGCAGTGAGCAGTTGGGGCTGGTGTCCAAAGGAAGGGGGCAACTATAAAGTAGAGAAGAGATGGAATAAGCCAGATGAATGGATAGATACTGTATGCTTATTTGTGGAACTGTCTGTTTCTTGCTGTTATATTGTCTAGGTACTGTCACAGTAAAATTATCACAGGGAGAGAAAGAGAGGGCAATGGAAGAATTGTATTTTTTTTTGTAAAACAGAGCAAGAGAAGGGAAAGGAGTACAAGGTGTAAGAGATGCAGATTTCCCAGGAGCCACACTCCCTTACGGAGCTGTCAGAATTGTAGCAGCAGATGAAATGATCCCGAAGCTGATCAGTGAGTGAGTGAGTGAGTGAGTGAGTGTGTGTGTGTGTGTGTGTGTGTGTGTGTATTTTACATAGTTTTTACACATAAGTGCAAGATAATACTAAAGAGGTAATTTTTACTAGGTAAAATGGGGAAGGTTCTAAAATGAGTACCATGATAAAACTGCAGTACTTCATGGCTGCAATGCACATTTACATATATATATATATATATACACACCTTTTTTTTTCCCTTCAGTTTTCAGGATGATACTGGTTAAGTATCAAATAATTTCCCACAGCAGTCTTCTGCAAAGCTTACAGCAGCTTTGAAAATTATGTCACTCAGTGGTCTACATCACAAAGGTATCACTGGTCTAAGTCCTTCCCATATATTCTGGTCACTTACTTGATTCGTGGTTTAACATTCAAGTTTCGGTTCCTTAAGCGCTCATTCTGAACACACTTACAGACACTTTGAAATAGTAAGGTGCAAACACGGATTGATAGTAAGAAAGAAAAGATAAATCAGATAGATACAGTCATCCTCATGTGCATATCCTGCTTTTTTTGTTGTAACCAGCAGGACTCCTTTTCTAAAATTTAGTTCAAGACAGTAAAGGAAAATACTTCTGTATCTAACAAATATCAGCTAACAGAGATCATTACTTGTCTTAGCACTGCCAGCTTCTTGCGTGGTGAAAGATGAGGTAAGGGCATGAGAAAAGACTACTTTGTAATATGGTTTCTTAAAGTAAGAGTAAGTTCAAGCAGCCAGAGTACTTGCAGCTGCTGTTGGAGATGACTGCTGTTTGTGCTCAGCATGTGCAGGAACTTATAAGTAAGTTTAGACAAGGGTGGTATAGATGCTTAAGCATGACTATTGATAACCAAAAGAAAATGATCAGAAGGTACTACTGCTGGTGGAAATGACGATGCAGGGTACAGACTGTGATGCACCTATTAGTTCAGTAAGGGTAAAAGTAAAAGAAACTTTATAGTAGGAATCCCATGACAGTACACAGCAAGCTTATCTTCCCTGTTTCTGAAGGAAAAAAACATGTCATAAATAGCGCTATCACATTCATTTATAGTTCCTTGTATTTTTTTAAAGAATATCATAGTTTTTGTCTTAAAAATATACTTTGAGTGATAAAATTTTACTACTGGTTATTAGGTTCTACTGTGAAGATGGATTGTAAATGTACAAGGCATCATAAACCTGTGAAGTGAAGAGGGCAACGAGAACTTTGATATTGTTCCTGTATTTCTTAGCTGTCCTTGTGAAATCAATGTAAGTTATCATTTTCAGCCAAACTGTTTACTTCATAGAGTCTCCATTTTTCCCAACGGTTTCCTGACAGCTCCCCACAACAGCAAGAAGCTAACATTTCTACTTTGAAAATCCATCAAAAACCCCTCATTTCGGCCCCAGCCAGCAGGTCATAAAATTTTTGATCTATAAACTGAGAAGAGCTTTGGAGACGAGCTTGGAGACAGTTGTGAATAAACAGGGACTACAGCTGTAGCTCCGCATTCTGTGTAAACCCATAAGTCAAAGAAAGTTTTATGTAATACATCAGCTTGGCACAAAATACAAGAGCAGCTCAAAATACGTATACGCCAGGTGGAACTTGAAAAAACATTTATCTACGTCCCATAGGGTCTGTGGATATATTAGCTGCAATGCATTATTTGATATACAAAATGAGACAGGGGTACTGCAATGAACTTGTTACATGAATTTATATTAGACTACTTGAGTCAAGTCAAAATGTTTCACAATTAAAATCACAAATACTGAATTTTATGTTGTTCTTTAATGAAATATTTGCACTTCAACAACATACAGATATGTTATACAAATTACATGTTGAATGTTGGTTAGCAAGACTTTTTCACTCCTTCTAATTGTTAATTTTCTTTTTTTCTTAAAATGGTGCTTAGTTTGAGCTCAGACCAGAGCAGAGGTTTGGTGATCTGAAAGAGAGAGAAAGGGATTCGTTAATTCCATATTCATTTGTACAATGGCTATGTAAGATTGTGAAATATTATAAAACTTATCAAATTGACTTTGTTTTTGATTTCTTTCACTGAGCTCAGTAGCTGGAAAAGTAGTCAACAGCTGAGCATGATGCTGAGAGCTTCCTTATTAAGAGCCCACCCAAAAGATCAGTAATACAAAAGATAAAATGGAAGTATATGTTCAAGGGAAATAGGATGCAAAAATCACAGCAGAGCAAAGGCTGCTGGTGAAGTACAAGCCCCGGGCTCCTAAAATTAGCTAGAAAGAGAAAGGATGTAAGTGACACAGCAATGGCAGAACAAAAATACTACAGTAAAAGGCAAAATGAAAAGGGATGGGGAAAAACCATGTTTTTTTGCGTGGAGAGAGACAAGAAGGAAGACGTCACTATCTGTTGAGGAAACCACAGAAATATCCTTTTTTTGTGAGCCTTCTAATGTAATCTGGTTGTTTAAATTTGCAGATACAGTTAGAAGGAAACATTCTAGGCTTTCTGTCTTTTCAGCCTGCTGCTGCTCTTACTCCCAAGAGGCCCTCTTCGTGGATACCTGACAAAGTATTTCTGAAAAAAATGCAATTCTGTCCTTCACAGTCACGTACGCTGTGATCTTGGAAGTGTTTTAGAGAACCATTCTGTGTGGTGAATATCAAACACTGCACATATTATAGATACATTAAGTACAGTACCTTAACTGAATAAATGGCTTCCTGTTTTCCGTAATCTCGCATAGTATCCTGTAGATGCCATTCAGGACACCCATCTCTTCTGTGGTTTCCAAATGCTCGATTGTCATTCCTCTTCTTCAGATTTCCACTTTCATGCTAATTAACATTCTGTATTGCATTTTCACATGTGTTCAAACGCTGGCCATTAGATTTTGATCGCAAAATAGTGTATAGCACAATAAATGCTGTATGAGTCATGTCATATCCTGAATAGAGTCTTGAAAGCAGACACTATGGCATGGGTGGCTTGGCACTGAATCAGCATGTTAGTGGCATCCCCGATGAGATGCGAAACAAAAAGACAACCCATTCTGGCAAACCCAGCAGGCAGGATGGCTCCTCACTGTGAACTCCCACTTGCCTTGAGGTAGCACTTGGAGGAGAAGACATCATGGTGCTCAGCACTTGCACAAACACAACAAAATGCTCAACACAGCTTATACAAGCCAGTGCAATGGTGATGGAGATCAACATATATTTTGCAAGAGAATGAATGAAGAGGAGCATTATTAGGCAAAGCACTCAAGGATTCGTAATTGCTGACATTCTAATGGGTTAATGAGCTTACTAGGAGAGAGAAGCCTTCAGTGAAACCTGCAATAGACGCCATAATAGACACAGAGAGAACTGTGGCTTCAATCAACCTGGGGAGAAAAGTATCCAGGGTAGACTGTACAAACTGCTGTTGAATTTCCTAGGAATGACAGGTATGTGCAAAATAAACTAACTGGTCCTAGCAAGCCGTTCCCTGCAAAAAATATACGTTAGGGATCACTGCACGTGTGCAACCACTCTCACGCTTACAGAAACAAAGCTAGTTAATACAAGGTGGATTTACCCACCTCTGTCAAAAAGGAAATCAACTTCTAACCAAAAAAATTACAAAACTACTTTTAGAACTTTTTCTCTGTGAAGAGACATGGTCTTCACAAATGATTTCATATAGCATGGTATTTATTAAGATCAGTATTACTTCAGTTGCATTTCTCAAGGATATTAAAACTTTGGAATCAACCAAAGCAGGTTGACTCTTTTCTCTGTTACTGTACGCTCTGCTGCCAAGCCTACAAAATGTGTCTAAAAATCACAGTTGGTTTTTACATATGCTACGTAAGCATACTCTTACCTGTCATGGTGTCTTTCCTAGAAGTGTGTTCTCCCTTATTTCCATGGTAAGTCGCGTTTGTTCCAGTTGATTCATAGTCTGTTTTTCTTTCTTTTAGGCTGATCATTTCCCGAGGTGAGGCTGGGGCACTTGCTAGATCATAAAAATGGATTTATTTTTCTCCTCACATATCACTGAATGTAGTGTTTAACGCTAGAGTAAACATTTTAATAAAGTTTGCATTTGTTAGGATACTAATGTTAGCATACTAATGTTAAGCTGTCTGAAGAAACACTACCGCAGGATGGAAGAGAAGAGAAGGTGCTGTTATTTCAAATACAGAATAAATGCATTCACGGGACAATCAACTCATTTTCCCCCGAATGTTTTATTTCTTCCCTTTAGCTTTTCAGTTTCTTTAACTTGTCAATACTTTCTGTTATAGGCACTTCCATGTTTTTCTCAAAATGGTCCATTTATTTTTGTGAAAAAGACCCTTAAATTTCAACTGAGTAGAAAAACTCTTACAAATGGTTTCCTACCTTCTCTGTTGAAGTAAACAAACCCATGAAACAGGTTCCCATAAGGGGAAAGGGAAGAAAAGAAAGGTGTTTTTCATAGAAAACATATAAGAAAGAATACCTAATACTTAAAGGTAACTGAAATAATTTCCCTTCTGTATTTATCTATATATGAATAACTGCCATTAAAACAACAACTAAGGTATCATTAAGTTTTAAGTTATCATTAATTCCTTCACCATGTGAAAAAACATGCAATTGTTTAAAAGTCAAGAGAGCCAAAGAAGAAGGAGGGAGAGTGATGGAACAGGAGGAAGAGTTGGCTTGTACTGTGGTTCCGTAATGGACTCTGAGATCTGGCAGTCAATAAGAAAAAGATTCACCGAAACTAGTCGTACAGGTAAAAGGAGGAAAGTTCAAGATGAAAAGGAGGAGCATTGGTTTTGTATTTGATGGCCATGCACTGGAAAAGGTGAGTGACCACTGGCACTGGTCACGAACACTTAACAGTCATGATTCTTCGACAGGAAGAGGAAAGAAAAGCAGAGGAAAAATGGATTTCAGGTAAACTGACTTCAAAAGACTTAGGTGTTGGTAGATACAATATACTTGCCCCGCTGGGGTAACAAATTTAATTAAAAACAGAGTTTATGAGAGTTTTTTTTTTTTTTTTAATTAATATTAACGACACCAGCATAGGCCATAGGGGCAGCAGAAAGGAAATGTAGAGATCCACTTGGGTCAGTCATGGCCGCTGCATAACCCCAAACGCAATGAAGCATACCAAAATGTGAAAGATAGGTCAGGAAATACCTAGGATGTATATACAAGAATATCATGTGTACTTAAGAGACAAAATCAAGGAAGCCAATCCACAAAATAAAACACAACTAGCAAGAGACATACAGGTTCATCTGCCCTATTTTCAGCATGTAAATTATATGTGTGAATTAGGGCTACTCACCTGAGGCACCCTTTATAGACAATGGAAAGAAAGAGGTACTTCCAGGGGATGTTTTGTCTTACAAGTTAAGTGTCTACATTAAATAACCTTAAGTGCCCTCTAGACTTTTCTTCCTCTATTGCCTACAGAGGGAGTGCGGAGTTAGCAACTCAGACTTGAATGGTTAAAGTTAGATGAGATAAATTTCATCATGCTAAAAAATCTATAAACATAGTAACAATATAGTAAAAAATACAGTAACAATAGTAAGACGAAATAAAGATACAGAGCTGGCCTGCTATTTAATGAGGATGAAGAATTAATAATAAAATGGTTCTAAATGTTTAATACCTGTTTATGTTTAATCCTTCACTAAAAACTACAAAAGTGATCTGATGGATAAAACAATTAACAGCCATGATAATTCTCTCAGGCAAGAAGGGAGTATTTGTGGGCAAGTTAAACTGGCCAAGCATGGTGAAATTCATTCCAGACTACTAAAGAATCTTGCTAAGCAATCTCAGATCCATCAGTGTTTGCTTTCAGAATTTTCAGAAGACAGGTGAAATTCCAGAAAATTGGCAAAAGGCAAACATTTTATGCATTTTCAAAAAGGAAGGAAGATTCAGAGAATTACGGGCTGATTACGTGACAACATGGTCCTGATAGCATATCTGAACATCTGAGCAATTTTGGCCCCAGGGGTAAATATTTCCCTATATACATACAGCTAACTTTGAAAGGAATATATACTCATATAACTCTTTTTACATAGGATGACCTAATAGTTTTAGTAATCTAGCTATTCTAGACCGGTGAACATGAACAGAAGATGGAGCAGAGGACGGAGTACAAGGTGAGTGGCAGAGCATCCTAGTCCCTAGCGAATGTAGAGGGGTATAAAAATAACAAAGTGCTGGTGCTTACTTCCACACTCTCCCATGCCTCCACCCAGGTTTCTGATACGTTAAGAGGACTCTCTAAAGCAAGAAGTAAGGCTGAAAATGAGTTTCAGTGATGATTTTGGGAAGTATCTAATTATCACCTATTCATTTGTAGCACACTGTTACTGAACTCTCCTTCCAGCATAGAGTTTGCTAATCGCTTACTGCGTCAACATTTCCCTTCTCCAAGGTTAACAGATGTGCTGTCTACCATCCCGCTATCCTAGCAATGAACAACGGCACTTTCACATCCCTCCACGCACAAGCTGCCTTCCTGTTTTGACACTGCTTACCTGAAACTTAAGTTTTGAGAACAGGACTTTGCTCCCTAGTATCATTTCCAAGCACTCCCAAAGACAGTGGTACTGTTTTTACTCATTTTTAACCATCAACATTCTCCTTTTATGATTTTAAATAAAAACATTAATATCTGGTAAAAGATTCTTTACGTACCATTGCTCAAAAAAAAGGAAAAAAATTCAGAAATGTTCACTTGTTAAGCTTACTCAGCAGCTATGTCTCCCCGTGTCTCTAAACCACGTTACAATTTTTAGTTAAGGAGTAGGGAAGCGCTTGTGCAGTGTTGATGAATTCTGCTCAAACAGGTTCTGCTGGCCCTGGTCTCTGAATTTACAAAGCAAATGTGTGACAGATGGCTTTTCTTATGAAGTCATTAAAATTGGGGATTGCTTTGAAATTGCTTGTCAATAATGATGTAATTCTAAAGCTGATAATGCAGCAGATGTAAAGAAACATGATGTTACTGAATCAGCTAATGGGAACGTGACTCCAAGAGGCGACAAAACAGAATGCAAGCCTTGAAAACGTTGCCAATGCATGGATGCGCTTTGTTTCACATACTCTCGTGATGCCAAACGCTCTGGTCTTTTGTATACACTGACTGATAAAGACAAAATCATCTCCCTCTCTTCCCTATGGGAATTATATCTTCTCCCACAGAACAACTGCTTTCCGGCAAGTGTTAAAATCCAGATGTGGCCTCTTGCAAGGTTTTTACTGGAAGCAGACATAAAATCATTAGTCAACATGAGACTGAAAAGTAATACTAAGGCTTTCTGCTCCTTATCCTTAAAAGACACAAAAAAGAAGACAGATCTCTCTATGCTAGTTAAAGCATCATATCACCAAATCATAGGGATGGATGGGACATCAAGTGTTCACCTACTTCAATTCTTTACCTCAAGGTAGGATCCAATATATTAAGGTTCTTCTTGACAGATTTTCATCTAAACCTAGACAGAGCCCACATAACTGCTCCAAGCGCTCTATTCTAATGCTTCGCATCTCTACTGTTAGGAAATGTTCCCAGTGTCTCACCTGACTCCTCGGGGCTCATTATTTCCATTTGTCTGCTATGAACATAGAGAAAGATTACTCCATTCCTATTTGCAGCTGGCTGTTACATGTTTGAATAGCTAATGTGTACCTCTTCTCATAGCCCCCATCTTCGGTCTCTCTTCCTCAAGTTAAACAGTCACAGTCCATTCACTCATCCCCATTTCCTGATTTCTCCATCTCGATTTATGTTTGCAACTAACAAAAATCCCCAGATCATTTCTGCACAACTTTTACCTAGTCAGTTGTTTCCTGTATGCTTTACTTGTAAAAAACAGGATCTTTTCTTCCCCCATTGGGACAGTAACTGTAATTTATCAGTATCACTGAATTCTAATAATGCCCTTCAAGGTATATGAGTCTCTCCCAGGTTTGTGTCATTGGCAAAGGTAAGAGACATTCTTTGTTCATTATCATCTGGGTCATTAAGGAAAACACTAAAGAGTACTGGGCCAATGGCAAACTCCCAAGCAAAAAAATCCTTTCGTTTTGGCAGTGAACAATACCTACTCTTTGAGAATGGTTTTCCAGTCTTTTCTGCATTCACCTGACACATCAATTTCTGCATTGCATTTCCAAGCTTGTATACAAAAACGTTGTATGAAATAGTGTCAAGTCTTACGGATTACAGAAGATTTAATTCATTGACTATTCACGTCCACAAAGCCCCATGTCTACGTTGTAGCATGAATTCAGATGGATTTTACAAGAACAAATTGTGCTGAACCAATATTTGGATTTGATATGCATATTGCCAGACAGACAGTAATTTATATTACTACTTAAAGTAGATATTCCTGCAAGGTGAGTAGTATCTTATGTCCCTGTTATCCCCAAGCACCCTTTGAGGTGCTTAGATTGTGATTATTTGTTCCAGCAATTTTCTAAAAAATAAAGTTAAGCTGACTAGTCTGTGATTACAAGCGGCTCTTCCACGTTCAGAAACAGTCCCTGTGTTTGTCCTTTTCCAGTCTTCTGGTAACTGATAGTGGCAGTAAGATTTCATCAGCTGTTTCTTTAAGTAGGTTCTTGAAGCAACAGAGCAATAAAAGCGAGGAGATGGTTCTGGCCAGATATAGAACAAAGATATCCAGATATTTCAAGTGCCTTGCACTTACAATCAAATTGAGATTAAAAAAAACAAAACAAAACGACTTCTGCAATGAACAGATTTTGAAAAGTAAACAGCGTGCAGCAGCTCTCACTGGGCTATACTTATGGCCACATTTTCAAAATTCCTCAGCGGTTGCTCCGCAGGAGTAAGATGCAGCTTCCAGATAACTAACAAAACTATTTTCTTACAAATGCTACTATTGCATGATGCTGACGGTAATCATCAGTTTGGCCTATTTTAATCCTAAACTCCTGATATACCGATGGAATGACAGCATTTGATTGAGCAAGTAGTAAAAAGTACATTCAAAGGTTGACTGTTTCATTGTGTCTACCTTAAAAGGCTTGACTTTCACTGAGAATGGCTGTACCTAACTGAGGCATATTTTACCTTTTACCTTGGAATAAGCAGAGGGACAAATGCCCAGATTTTTCAACAGAAAAATGTAATTAACACCATGACGTAAATGGAGATAATTGCATAAAAAGTCATTGCACGGATGATAAAGAATAAATGAAAGTTTAACTATGAAATCAATATTAGAAGAAGACCTGTAGTCAATCTTTCTTTAAATTTATGTATGTGTGTTTGTGTGTGGACACTTATACACACGTTAACACATACACATGCACATACACATACATTTGCATCTAACCAGAAGAAAAGTTGATAAAAAACTATGTGGATCTTTAAACAAAAAATTATTCCTGCTTTAAACAGATACCCCAGATAAGAGTAAACAATAGAATCTGTGGTCTTCCATCATTGTTAATGATGGATCTGCATCCTAGTGACATTGCTTAATGACGGAGAATGGCAGTGATGGATTACTTCTGTCGTTACTGCGGTGCCTGGTCTTACCTGAGCGATTGTTAGGAGACATGCGCACAGGAGAGATGGAGGGTGTGCGTGATGAAGAGTAAGGTCTTTGCCGATCCCTTTCTATCGTTGAAGATGAGGCTACGAAGTGATACTGTGACCATCCATCCTGCAGGAGGGCAACACCAAACATTGTGACAGCGGTCAGGGAAAATGCCATACACCTCCAGATTTTAAGCAGAGAATATTTTCCTCTAGTGTTTTCACTTATACACCAAAGCAGGCAATTCTGATACTCCATGAGAGTTTGCTTCTGCATTTCTCAGCAGCAGTCTACTGTCTTTTTCCTGCCACTGGGTAAGTATTCTTAGCAGCGCAGGGTATGATGGGCTGACTGTGACAAACCAGGGGAATAGTCAAAACGCAGAAAATTCTGTAAACTAGTGAAGATGGATACCATCTTTCAGAATGATTCAAACTGTGAAAACACTGAAGAATATTTCAGGTTTTTTGTTTAATAGTTCTGTCTTTTTTTTTGCCTCTAATTTCACATTTTAGATGGCATTCTGGTGATGGACACATTCCAAACAACGGAACTCTGCTTGTTTTCACTGAAAATAAGGTTTTGCTTTAAATCATTTCTGTCTTAGCAGGAAATTCTGGAGTAAGTATATGGTGAAGCACCAGGATTTTCAAAATTGTCATAAATATTTCGGTGTCTATAGTCTAGTTAATATACTAACTGCCCATTTTTTCATGTGTGAGGGAAGAAGAACCAATGCTTTTTCCCCATTGCATATTTCTCCAAGATGTGAAGAAACCCCATTCCTTGCACTTAAAACTGTGATATTGGTGACGTGGTTTTTAAACAGACTCAAAGTAATACGAACTCTAGAATCAGCTACTTCAGAAATAAACAAAGAAGAGTTCAAATCATTCATGTTTTGTTCTCGTACTACAACACAATGTAATAATCCAAAATAATTAAACTTACTGTTAAAAGAATTGCACGTTTTTAAACAGAAATTAATAATAGCTTGGAAGTATGATGAAAGAATAAACCGGCTTTGGCCAGCACTGTTACCAGACTAGAGTATTTCAGGTGTCTTAAAAGTATTTGCAGATACTAACTGCCTAGTGTAAATCTAACTCTGCAGCATAAATTGAGTTTTCCCAATCCTGCATTGAAGGTGCAAGCCTTTTAAAAATGCCTGTGTTTTGCTGACCACAGCGGAAACGGAGTCCAGCACCTCGTGTGGTGCTAAAAAAAATTTTGCCATGACATCTTGTGTAAAAATAAACACTATTCAATATTGTCAAAAAATAGCTTGAATTTCCCTCTTCCTTATGGAAAAAAAAGTTTTCTCTTGGGGACAGTAAAGAATATTGCCACCCCACTCCAGGCTTCTTCACCCATCTGACTTGAGTGCTCTGATTCGATCCCCCTCCCACCCTCTGCCTTTGCTCAGGACTTCTGCCTGTCTTTGTGACCTCCATAAAAACCCCAGGCACTTGGCTCTCTGAATTGTCATAGAAGCCCTCCTTTCTGCTAAGCTTTTAAGTAACAGAACTCAGCAAGAGTGTGACCTTTTTTTGCTTTAAAAACAGCAGGAGAAAAGAAGGTACTCATATTTAATGCAGAGGGAAATGTTGGAAGCAAATTAGGATAGACAGACTTGCCACGTAACTAGAAAGTCCAAATGTTCGTACTGCTTACAAAGTGCATTCGTATAAACATGCTTGTATCTCAGCCATAAGTTAAAAAGAAAACAAGAGAATAGTGAAATCTGGGCCATGGCTTTTGTACTAGCGTCATGATTTTCTTTAAAGTGGATAGACAGTGTTTGTCCACAGAGGTCATTCATGTTTCTGACACTTCACTGAACTGCATCCGTGTGTCCTGTGGCAGTCACATAAGAAAGCATATGGAAGAAAAATAGCCAATAACTAAAAAATAGTTAAGAATAACTTGACAATGAAATAAATAATGTTTAATATCACTTATCAAAAACAAATTTGCTAAATCAAATCTTTCATTTCCGACAAGCAACCTCTACTCCAGCTGAGTCCTCCAACCTGTAGGATCAATGAGAATGTCAACAAAAAAAAGTCTGCGATGCCTTAACTCCTTAAATGTCGTATCAAATTGGAAATTATTAGAAACATCTAAATAAGTATATATTTTGAAAAGGACTAATAGTTCAAATTCTTTAAACTATTATCATGAGCAGCCTGAGTCCAATAATCTTATCCACGGCTCAAGACGTAACATAGAAAGTTTTATTTTTATATTTCCCATTAACACTTACTTGCATAGTAATTTCTCTCCTGTAAAAATGAAACAGCAAATGTGAGAAGACTATGCCTGTATCCTGTTGGGCAAACATGGTTCCCTTCTTCCTCCCTCTCTGAGGTCAGTTCTTACAAGAAAGGTGACTGTATAACTCACTCTGTGTTACAGTTTTCTGATAATCTCTTTTCTTTTAAACAGACTCTTCTGCTAAAGAGGAAGATACCATGAGGATAGATAACTCTAGATCTGATAAAAGAAGAAGGAAAAGACTATTTATTACCTCCTACCTGCAAGAGGAGGAGATTTCAGCCATGTTTACACAGTGCAACTTGGAAACGCTTCCAGCTTTCTGCATCCGGATGCATACAGGGCTGCACCCTAAACTCCACCTACGCTGCCCTTCTTTCACTCTCTTGGTTCTCTCAAATAAATCTCTGGTTTATGGGTCACAAGGGAGGCATAGCATCCCCCCAAACTCTGCACTACCTCCTTTGACCTAGATGATCAGGGGATGAAGCCGGTGGAGTGTGCCAGAGACTTTGTACCTGTTACAGCACCTCAGCGAAGCCTTAGGTGCTCCAACTGGTCTCTCTGGGCCTCTTTGCAAAGGGAATCATCAAAAGGCTATGGGAAAACACTGAAAAATTTAATCTTTGCTTTGAAAGAGCTGCACAAAGCCCTTGTTCTAACATTCTGTACCTTTTAAAAATAATTCTTTTTCAAATTATCCAGAACATTAGAAGATGGAGGCTTTGTAACACAAATGATGATGAATGCCAGTCTGGTTTTTAAGCGCTGTCCACATCAGAAGCTGTAACTGTACTAGTTGTAATGGCTCCAAACTCTTTAGAAAATGCATGTAGGCAGTAAGGTCCTGCTCCCTGAGGGGACATAAACTTCAGTGTGAACTTAGTATGTGAAGAGCTTAATTACTTTTTTTTTTGTTTGTTTGCATCAGAAAAACCATCCCTTTACCTTTCTTCCTGTCCTCCACTCCATCCTGTCTCTGTATTGTTAACATCGATACCTAGACCCTTGCTCTGATGGGCAGGGGATGAAACCCCTGCTATCTGCATAATCCCAGAGATGCGGCAGGAATCGCACATGGTGCCAGTTTGGTTTTGCGGAGTATCAGCAGATCCCTTGCCCACATTGCCTCCTCTGCAACTGCATTACAAGGTGCTTCAGCAGGGAGGGAGGGAGCTCAACCTCACTGTAGCTGGGCTGCTGGCCATAGCATTCCTCTGCCTGGCAAGTGCTCCTCCTCCTCCTCCTCGTCCTTCTTCTCCTCCTCCCTGCAAATGGTCGTTTTTCTCTCCCTCGAGAGTGGCTCTTGCTATGAGGTCTTCAAATAAAGACCTGCTACAAACTTCCACGCTTGCTAGCCTGATCAGCTGGGTAAAACTAGCTGGGCAAACAGTAAACTCCAACACCAATACTGTTGTGACTTGGCATTGCTTTTGACTAGTCAAGGTGCACTGCTGCCACTGCACGGAAAATGTCAGCGTGTTTTTCAAAAGCACTGTGGGCAGCTCACAGACTTGACAGTACTCCAAAACCAATATTTTTAAGTCAACTATCTTTAGCTCGCCCCTGCTGCAAGAAATAAGCCTCTTTCCTTGCAAAGGTAAACAGTTTGTAACAAATTCATTAAAACTATCCCCATCAACAATTCCAAAAGCTATTAGTGTTAAATATTTAAACTAATTTTTAAGAGCCTAAAGGGAGTATTTTCAATTTAATGCCGAGATAAATACCACCTGATGTGATGGCTGCCTTCATTAGTTTGTTTCAGCTCTAGTGCCTGTAATGAAATTTAATTAAATTGATTTGGGTACTTAAAGGTACAGTAGGTAAGAGTGGCCTGTAGAGAAGAAAGCTATCTCAAAAGCAAAGTGTGTGAGACTGCGTTCCAGAAACCAATTTACCAGCCACAAATGTGATCTAGGAGAGGAAGAGTAAGACAAAAAGATCTGACATATTGGAAAGAAATTCAATGCAATTCTGTCAGGAAATGGATGCATTTGTTAACTGGCAGCAGTTAATTAATAGGTAGCAACTGCACACTTCAGCAAGGCACAAAGCAACCAGAGTACAGAAATACCATTATCTGTCCTCATCATCTCCTCCAGTGTACTTTTTCTCCTGGGCATTTCTCTATATTCTGACTAGAATGAGTATCTGCATTTTTCCTCAGTTATACTACATAAAGTCAGAAATTAAAGGGCATGTATTAGAACTTGATCAGCAGTGATGTGTTTCTGAACATACGTCCTTAATGCAGCAGGGATTAGATTTGGAGCGGAGGGCTGGAAAATCACCGCAGAAAACAGAAGCAAGAATGTAGTCTCACTGATCACCTTTTACTGGTCTCAAGGAGTGAAGTGGCCCTTGTCCCCCCGCTCAACTCTAAGTCATTTTGAAAATAGTTTTCTTTGGGTCCATGGGAAATAATTGTTTTGTCAACGTAACTGAACTTGTGCCAAATATCTATTGCAACTTGTCTTCTGAAAATATAATTTGTGACATCTACAATATCCTTTTTGTATTAAAACTTAGGGGAAAAGCAAGTGTTTTTCTATTAGGTTTGAAAGAATTTCAGAACTGTCAGACTTCTCCAGGAGCAAACTTCCCCTTGACTTTAGCAGATGATTTGCTGAGCTGAGTGATACCACATACATAATTTTTCTCATTTGGAATACAGTAGCACTAAAAGGGCTGAATGAAATTAAGCCCTGATCAGAGCTGACACTATGTTGACACAAAAGGGAAACGGAGCTCCCACCTGAAGACCTTACACACTAAATAGGATAGAGAGGGGAAAAGATAAAATCATGTGGCCGAAGAATATGTGGCTTAGCTGGTGACAAAACGCC